ACATTAAGGACTATTCATTGAGTACAGTTTGTCAGTCAGTTACAAATCTATCTAATAGTGATGCTATCTATCCTACTTTTTTCTAGCTTATCAAGAAATAGGTTGTTGAATGCCTTGCTAAAGTCTAAGTATACTATGTCCACAACATTTCACTAGTCTACTAATTTAGTCACTATGTCAAAGAATGAAATAAGGTTGGTTTGGCATGATCTGTTTTTAACAAACCCATGCTGACTTCTAGTTATTACTTTGTTTCTAGATGTTCGCAGATCTGTTTTTTGATTGTCTTTTCCAGTATCCTCCTGGGTATTGATGTTAGACTGATTCGTCTGTAGTTTCCTGGATATGTTTTCCCCCCATTTTTTGAAGATGGGAATCACATCAGCTCTTTTCCAGTCCTCTGGTAGTTCCCTGGTGCTCCAAGATTTTTGAAAGACATGGTACAGTGGTTCTGAGATGACATCTGCCAGCTCCTTTAGAACTCTGGGATGTAATTGTCAGGTCCCCATGATTTATATTCATCAAGATCAAACAGGTGTTCTCTTACCATCGTTTTTGCTTATTTTAATTTTTGTTTCTAGTCTGTCTTTTACAGTTACGTTTTTGGTAGGTTGGGCTGTAGTTTCTTATTGTGTGAAGACCAATGCAAAGAATGAGTTAAGCAGCTCTGCTTTCTCTCTGTTGCCTGTTATTTCCTTGCAATCTTCTTTTTAGTAGACTGATTGTTTCCCTGATTTTTTTCTTGTTATTTATATGTTGAAAGAAACTTTTTTTTATTATCTTTGACTTTTGTTGCAAGTTGTAAGGTCCAGTCTCTCCCCCTTATTCAAGAAAGTAAAGACTCTTGAAACTTGGCATTTCAAAAGGAACCTTGAAAAGAGGTGATAGCAGGACAGAATCAAAGCAGGCTCTCCGGTCCCTCAGGTCATACAACTAGGATAAAGGAAATTAGGAACCCCTCCCAACAGTCCGATGTGGATTCAGCCAATCCGCAGGTGTGAAGATGTTATTGTACCGGCCACTCTGAGAAAGAGATAAGAGGACTTTCTCAGACCCATCTTCTGGCATTGCAATCCACATGGCCCACCCTCCCCTTACATTCCCCAAGAGGTGAGAAATTGCCGGGCAGCTAAGGTGCCAGGCAACAATTATAAATCAGGTGAAAGGTTACACAAAAATGCAATGTAGGATATAGGATACATAGAAAGGAAAATAGAAAGTAAATGTATCAAGAACCAAATCCCCACTTCCTCTGAAGAATGGCAGATACACAGATCTGACATACTGCCCTCCTTAGAAAAATGGATAGTCCACGTGGAAAGGCATAATGTATTATATTATATTATAATCCTAATGTATTATATTAGGAATTAGGATGGTTTGTGAGGGTATTTCAGGTGAAATTTCCTTAACAATGTAGGGGCCTTAACATGTTTCTTGGCTACCCATTTGTTCTGTGAGGAGGGTAGATGTTTCCAGGCTACTAAATATTGTGGGGAGCCATGAGTAGTGCATGAGTCGAGAATATCTTTGATTTTAAAATGTTGTTCCCCTTCCATCATAAGGGAGACTGGAGGTGTGGGCAAAGGGGGCCTGATGTTCAAGGTGATTTCTAGTTTCAGTAAGCTGCAGTGAAATACTGGATGAACCTGTCTAAGTGTTTTAGGGAGGAGGAGCTCTACATTGACAGGATTAATGATTCTTGTGATGGGGAATGGCCCAATGAATTTTGGTCCCAATGTCTTGGAAGGTTGTAAAGATTGTAGGAATTTTGTGGATAAGTATACGTGGTCTCCCACCTTGAAAGGTTTGGGTTCAATTCGGTTTTTGTCTGCTTGAGGTTTAAAAGCTGCTCTAGCCTCTTGCAGGGCTAGCCTACTACTGGCCATGTGGTTTGTAAATTTCTCATCCTTGAGGGAGGGGATGTCAGGCTCCTGTGTGGGTAGTTCTGGCATGGAAGTGAATTCTTGCCCCATGGCTACTTAGAAAGGGGTGAACCCTGTGCTGTTGTTTACAGAGTTATTGTAAGCTACTTCAGCAAATGACAAGAGGTCAGTTCAATTGTCTTGTTGGTAGTTTATAAAACATCTTAAATATTGTTCTAACACCCCATTCACATGTTCGACCCCCTCATTCATCTGGGGGTGATGGGAGGAGCTTAATCCCTGGGCGGTGCCTAATAGATTTAAAAAAGCCCACCAAAATTTGGAAGTGAATTGAACACCCCTGTCAGAAGCAATCCTTTGGGAAGTGCCATGAAGGCGGTAAATGTGCACTAGAAACATTTTGGCTAGTGTTTTAGCTGTTGGGATATTTTGGCAAGGTAAAAAATGGACCTGTTTTGAAAAAACGTCCGTGACAACCCAAATAACCATGTTTCCCACGCTTTCAGGCAGTTCCACAATAAAATCCATGGAAATCTCTCTCCAGAGTTTGGAAGGTTCAGCTACAGTTTGTAAGAGTCCTGAGGATTTCCCCTGGTGTCTTTTAGCAGCTGTGCAGGTAGGGCAGCTAGCAATATAGCTCTCAATATCTTTTTTAAGGGGTGGCCACCAAAATTGTCTTTTGATGAGATGTAGAGTTTTGACAAATCCAAAATGTCCGGCTAGTTTGGAAACATGGCATTGTTTCATTAGGTCCAGTCTCTGGCTGGCAGTGACATAAAGTTTGTCTCCTACCCAGGCTAAATGGTCTTTAAGCAAGAGGTTATTTTTGTGGGCTTGGAACCAGTAATCCTTAATGAGTGCCTCCTTAAATCCTTGAGCTGTTGTGTTGTCGACAGGTTTTTTTTATTTTAAATGCCTCTGACGATCCCAGCTGAGTTGCCTGATCAGCAGAAGCATTTAAAAGAAAAAAAGCCTCTGCCGATCAGGCAACTCAGCTGGGATCGTCAGATCCTTTTAAAAGCATTTAAAAATGCTTTTAAAAGCCTTTGACGATCCCAGCTGAGCCGTGTGATAATCAGAAGCTTTTTTAAAAAAACTTTTAAAAGCATTTTTTTGGCCGAAGAGGTTATAGAAAAAATGCATTTAAAAGTAAAAAAAAAAGCCACTGATGATTGTGCAGCTCAGCTGGGCATGGGGGAGGGGCAGGGATTTTTGCTACCGGTTCTCTGAACCACCCGCTGCCATCGCTACCGGATCGGGTGATCCGGTCTGAACTGGGAGCATTTCACCCCTGGATCTGACACAAGTCTTTGTTCATCCTGAGCCTTTGCTTTCCTGACTTCATCTTTGCAGATTCTGACTATCTGCTGATATTCTACCTTAGTTAAGAGAGAAATCTCTGTGGCTTCTGTCTTTACTAACAAATTACAGGTAGTCCTGAACTTACAACCATTTAATGACTGTTTGAAGTTGTAGTGACACTGAAAAAAATGACTTACAACTGTTCCTTACATTTACAATAATGGCAGCATCTCCATGGCCATGGGACCAAAGTACAGACACTTGGCAACCAGCATGCATTTACAACAGTTGCAGCATCCCAGGCTCATGTGATCACCATTTTCAATCTTTCCAGCAGATTTTTGCCATGCAAAATCAATGGGGAAAGCCGGTTTCACTTAAAAACCAAATGATTCACTTGACAACTGCAATGATTCACTTAACAACTGTGGCAAAAAAGGTCATTCAATTGGGCATGACTCACTTAACAACCACCTTACTTAACAATGGAAATTCTGGGAATTTCCTGGGAAGTTTCCTAGTTTCGGAAATGGGCCCCTTGTTAGTCAACAAGAGTGCTAGTTTACCACTAGCTTATCAGGTACTTAGGAGCTGAGGACTTGGCAGCACAAGGAAACAATAACCAATGGCCATCAACACACCAATCAATCAGTAGGAAGGCACCACATAAATACGGCTCACAGAATAACCCAAAGCACATATTCTGGTAGACAGAAGTTCCCTGAAGATGGACTCTGGCATGAGTCCGAAAGCTTCGAAGAGTAAACCTCTGGTCCTGGTGACTGACCCAAATTGGATCTTGCAACATATATTTGCCTTGATTCATAATGGAAATTCTGGTCCCAATTGTGGTCATAAGTTGAGAATTGCATGTATATTAGATAAGTTTTAATTTACAAGAAATATGATTTAATGCATCCCTTTTATTTTTACTTCTTAAATTAACTGATGTGATCTTATTGGCTATTCCATGGACCACAAGATGAGGATGAGGTGAATGTACTAGTCTTCTCTGCATTGCTATTTACACCTAATTTACAGAAATGGAATAATAGTGGAGCTGCACAAAGAGGAATGAAGGAAAATAAATAGTACTTGATGTCTGGCTGTCTTGGAATTAAGGGCCAATCTATTATTTTAATTCACTGGCAGCCCAGTGATAGCCAAGAGCTCCTTTAACTTGCACCGTAGGCAACTTGGTCCTCCTACCTTTTTCAAACCTAGCTGATAACAATGATTATCAGCTTTGCTTGCATCTGCTTCCATTCCACAAAACTAGCTATTGATCAGCTCTAGCAGTACAAAGGTAAAATACTGTTTCTAGGACTACCGGTAAAGCTGAAATGAAGGATAGTAATGCTAAAAACCATCAAACTCAATTTGTACTTAATCCAGTATGGCCATTACTTATTTATGCTTTTTTATCCTTATCATGTTTGTACTGCATGTATGTAAATGTGGTAAGCATCTCTCTGTTGGATGTACATACTTTCTACATACTACACTTTGCTTAAATTTCCTCACTTTTTCACTTTTTTTTTAGTTTATAACTAAAGAAAAAATGATATAAAACTCTGACAAGAACTATTGAGATTATATTGCTACTCATGCAGTTGTTTTCCTAAATGCAAGTTTATTTTTTTCAATTTTTCTAACTAGATATGCAGCATTACTCAAGTTTACCTTTATGTTTAAGTATTTTTTTTGTTCTCCATATAGGAATTTCAGAACTCCTAAAATTCTGTACTCTGACATGGACCTGTAAAGAGATTTTGTTGTTCTAATTGCCTAGTTTAATTATTTTCTTTGTAGAGTGACTGCTATTGAGTTTTCTGCTTTAAAGGGTTTGCGAGAGAAACTTTATACCCACAAATCAGACCTCATTGCAGCTTTTACCCATTATGATCCAATTTGCACAGGTAATGTGATTTGAAAAAGTGTTTCATTTTGTTTGTCAGTATTATGTTTTTATGTACAAGTAATTTTCTATGTTGCATGTTACAGGAAGAAAATGTGATGAGCAATAGATTCTAGATTTGTATGGGACAGATGCTACTATGAATCATTCATAAATGAGCTGGATTGAGTAAAGATACAATTTATGAGAGATATCAAATTGTTTAGAATAATGGATACTGCTGGCTCAAAAATAGCGCATGAGCTTGTAGGCTGATCAAAATGACTCATGTAATGTTTTCTAACTCTGTAATTCTTGTTTTTTAAGGATTCCAATGACAGTGTTTCCAGTGTGAGATGTTCTTTTCAGACCACCAGAGAACAGTTAATGCCTACCAGTAGAACTTAGTATCTCATTAGTTGTATTAACATAAGTATATTTACTAAATGAAGGGAAGTAATTTATTCTGACAGTTTTGGGGAATCACCCTTTAAGAGGGATGCAGAGACATTGGAACATATTCAAAGAATGATAGCAAGGAAATCAAGGGACTGAAAACCAAGTCCTATGAAAAGGGATGGAAAGATATTTAATTATGAAAAAGGGTAACTGAATATAATAGTAGTCTTCAAGCACTTGAAATACTATCATAGAGAACTTTAAGGCCTGTTCTCTCTTGTCCCAGAGTGCAGAATATGAAATAATAGATGTAAGTTACAGAAAGTCAGATTTCAATTGAACGTTAGAAAAAACTCCCTAACAGTAAGAGCAATTCAATAGCATGAAACCAATTCTCTGGAAAAGCAGTGGTCTTCTATTCATTGGATGTATTTAGGACTAGAGAGAGACCGGTCTGCCTGGGCAGCTTTAATTTGGATCCCTGAGTAGAGGGCTCTATCTAATGGCTTAAATGGTTATTTCCAGCCTTGTGTTTCTAGTAACAATCTGCATAAAATCAGATGAGAGGAAGAGACTCTTCTTCAAAAGAACTAGAAAATATTTTAGGGCCAAGATATACTGACAAAACAGCTGTTGTGGAAGAGTTATCCGATCAAAAGTTTACTATCACATGATGTGTTGTAGACAAATGCTGTATATCTATGATTGAATTTGTTTGGGGAGAGACTGATCTTGCAGGACAGGAAGAAGAGCCATTATTCAGGCAACAGTCAGACATGACTGAACTAAGCCTGGATCAAGAAAGAAAATTGAGAAAAACTCTTAGACAAGCCTCTCTTTAGTTTTCATGAAGATAAAGGGGAGGGGAAAAAAACATATTCAGATTTGCAAGATCCTGTAACAGTAAAAGTAGTACTGACCTACATGGCACTGGTACTGATACCTTAGTCTGATTTCCCTTGTAGGGGGCAACGCATATCCAGTTCCAAACAGCCATTGAAATAATCCTCCAGAGTGCTCTCTTCCATCCAAGCAAGATCCTTCTGGGGCTTCAAAGTACTGCTGCAAATACCTATGATTTTAGAGACTAATCTTTGCTTTAGAGCCTGCCTGCCTTTTTAAAAAGGAGTCAGGAAGCTTAGTAAGTACCATACTAAGAGACTCAGAGTGAACCTGAAATAATAGCTTCCCCTAGAAAATTATGAGAAATCAATAAATTACAGGTATCTCCTCCCATCTTCTGTCCGAATTTTGTAGATTGACTTATACCAGTGATGATTAACCTTTTTGGTGCCGAGTGCCCAAAGTATGCATGCACACGTGCAAATGCACATGTGCATACCTGAACCCCCAAAATGCAATGCAAGCACTCCCATGCATGTGCCCCACCCCATGCATGTGCGCTCACCCTCGCACATGCCCCCTGCACATGTACCCTGGCCCTCCACACATGCACCCCCCATGCCCCATTTTGGCTTCCAAGTTAGTCCAGGAGGCTTTCCAGGCCCAAAACAGGGTACAGGAGGGCCTTGCATGGCACCGCCATGCCCTGTTTTGGCTTCCAGGTTGGTGTGAGCAGCAGAAATGGGAATAGAAAGGTAGGGCAAGCTGGGGGGGGGGACCTGCAGAGATCAGGGAAGGCATGGGCGGCAGAAATGGAGTAGAAAGGTAGGGCACACTAGGGGGGACCTGCAGAGATCGGGAAAGGCCCCGCCCCCCATGCATGCTTGGCAGAGACCCAAAGACCAACTGGCCAGTGGGAGGCACATGCACATGCGCGGTGAAGCTGGGCTGGGGTGACGGCTGATGTGCCTGCAGAGAGGGCATGTTCGCCATCATGGACATACCATAAAGTAAAAGTGGCTTGAAATCTTAGGTAATTTAGGTAGGTTGAAGATCCTCAAAACTCAGAAGTGTGGGGCACACTTGAATTAATGATGCTTGTCCCACTAAGATCTTGCTGTACAAATGAGATACCAGTTTACCTTCCTTCACTTTCACATTAATGGCAAGGGACATCATTGGAAGAATGAATGTACAAAGAATCAAGACGTTGCCCATGACTGCAAGATTCATGCTGTGCCCATTTTTAACATATAGTGATGCATGTAAAAGAGAGGGGGAAAAAAAGGATGGAGCTGCCACCTTGATCTTTCAAATCCTGTTCTTGCCTGCTCCTGGCATGGTACTACCAAAGGAAAGTTGCTTCATCCTACTTTGTGACTGCTGCTGGGGGAAAAAAGATCAAAAATAAATTCATTATCTTCATATGAACAAAAAAAGAAAAAGCATATGCTGCAGCCCTCTTGAGACTGCCAATTGCTACATAGGGAAAAAAAAACCCTCTGATAATTAACAGCTGCAGTTGAAGGGGTATTTATGAGACCGCCTTCTGCCACCAATAGCCTCCCACCGGCCAGTACGCTCACACAGAGTGGGCCTCCTCAGGGTGCCGTCCGCCAGACAATGTCGGCTGGCGACCCCCAGGGGGAGAGCCTTCTCTGTGGTGGCGCCCACCCTCTGGAACAACCTCCCCCCAGAGATACGTACAATAACAGACCTCCAGATTTTTCGTCGGGCCCTGAAAACCCATTTATTTCAGCTAGCTGGGCTGGCTTGAGTTAAATTTTAAACTGATTTTAAATTGGAATTTTTTAATTACGGCCAAAATATTTAATTATTTTAAACAGTTTTTTAGATTTTGTATGTCTTGCTTTTACTTTGGCTGTTCACCGCCCTGAGTCCTATATTGGAGAAGGGCGGTATAGAAATTTAAACAAATAAATAAATATAAAGAAGGAATGTTGATTGTGCAAAACAGGCATTCTGGAAGCATGATATTGCCAAATGTATTTGCAGGAGGGGCTACCATATTTCTATTGAGCATATAGGTTCTTCTTCTATGCTCCAATTTTGGTGCCATTCTACCTTCAGATAAGTTTTTGTTCAAACATGTACTTCTCCCTGGTTTTAAATGAAGATTGCTGATTAGTATCTCAAAGAAACCACATGTGTCAGTATTGGATAATTAGGAAAGCATGCAGATACATCATAAATATAGATTATCAACTAAATGGGTGATTATTTGTAAAGCCCAATTATGTGAACATACTAATGAAATTAGTAAAGTTACTAATGAACTCACCGATGTACAGAATACCAATTGGTATCCAAGAAAAATAGCAATATTTGCAGGGAGCAGGGCTCTCTGCAGGTTTCACAGTCCAAAGCAATAGAAAAGACAATGGTATATGAAATAATATTGTTTTTTTCAATGCTTCAGATTATGAAATTATATATCCACGTTTATTTATTTTTAAATGCTGTTTTCCTGCCATGGTTGCATTTGTTACCTTCAATATATAGAATCCCATCAATTACAAATTATTTACATCTAGGATACATAGGATGGAATTGATTCTGTTATTATTCTCAGGCTCACATTTCAAAAGCAGAAGAGGTTAAGGTTTTGCCTATGGCAAGGTTTGTTTCCTCTCTTTTTTCTGTAGCCTCCAAAGCTTCCCAATGAGAGGTTGGAGGATATGCCCAATAGAGGATGGAGAAAAGCAGACAGACAATAAACTAAAGATGAGCTGTGATTCTAAGAGGAGTAATTGTGAGCTCATAATTATCAAAGTGTCTATGGTGTCAGGTAACATTTGAGAAGTCAGATTTTTGCCACCCTCCCCATAGGAATGGTTAAGCGGGGGGGGGGGGGGGGGGGGGGGGGGGGGGGAGAATGGGACTGGGAAGACTGAAAGCTTAATGTTAAAATCCAATTGACATTCCCAACTTAAATCTTACACCCGAGTTAAAAACCAGCCAGTTTCAAGGAGGATGACTTTTAAGGAAAGATACTTTATTGATTGATTAGTCTTATCACCATATCAAAAAGACTCTTGAGGATGGAAATGATCTTGTCTTTGACAGACTTTAATTTTCCATTTCCCCTTTTAAATCCTCTCCCCCCACAAACCCAATCACACAGATACACATAAACTGAAATCTGCACACCTTTTATTCATTTGAGAAATTTCTGATGTTTCATGTTGAAAAAAGAAAAAAAAGAACAAGCAAATTAAAACTCAGGGCTGAAATGTAACTGGTTCCCCACCAGATTTCAATGATGTGATGAGATGAGGTGCAAATAGGGTACCTGCAATCTGTAGGTTGGTCATCCTCCTCCATTCCCTATTCTACATAGTGTACTTCATAAGCTCTAGTGAAGCTGGTGGAATGTGGGTGTGTGGGTGTGTGGGTGTCTGATGGATCAGTCTTTAGAACAGTGATTCCCAATCTCAGCCAGTTTGATATATGTGGACTTCATCTCCCAGAATTCCCCAGTAAGCATGTCTGGTCCAAATTTAGAAGCTAGTCACTATGCTTGACCAGTTTTTTATTTAAAAATAACCCTGTAATATAGTTTATTGAAATCTCATTGCCACAATACTTCCTGCAATGATGTTTCAATTGAAATTGGAGAGGGTTGTGGCTTGATAAATACACATCACATCCTCTTATAGGGAGCTTCCTTTGAAACATAAAATACTTTTCATTTTTTAACAGGAAGGATTTCTCTTAGCCAATGGACTTCGGCCATGGAATCGGTTCTGAATCTTGACATACCCTGGAGAACTCTCCATTCTCGACTAGTTTGCCTGGCTTCAGATGGAAGTGTGGAATATCTTTCATGTTTTGACAATTTAGAAATTATACTACCCATCAAAGAGGTGAGGTGATTTGGAACAAGGATGATCAACTTTTTTTCAGAGGGTCTGAACCTTATTTTGAATAATAGGTTGGACAAAATAACATGTAGAGACAGAAGGAAAAAATGTTATTATTTCATTTAATTAAATTTAATTATATTTATTTAAATATATATATTAAATATAGTTACTGTGATCGTGCCCTCTATGTTTATAAGCAATAAAAAAAAGGAAACACAAACATATATGCTTCTCACATTGATAAAAACTAGTCTTGTTTTGTGTATTGCAATATTAAACATTAAATGATCAGTATTTAACAATAGCAAAACATGGGGATACAGTCCACATTTTAAAATGATCTTTCTGTTGGTACTCCCAATAGTATATAATGCTTATTCAAGTACATGCTGAGTTTTCAGATCTTTGCAGGACTGACATAAAAATACATATTTTGTCTCTAACGTGCTCAATAGGTTTTTCTCCCGTCACTTTAGTAATTATAAAAATTCCATTTGGTGAGAAGCTTTGAATGGGCTTTAAGGGACCCAGTAGTGATCCTCAGTCTTGAGGTCTAGGTTATACACCTTAATTTAGGAAATGGCTGAACTGACAGCATTGTTAAAATGGTTTGTATAATACTATTAATTTTATTTAGAAACTTGTAGATACAATTGTGCAATGTGACTCTTAGTGTACACATGGGAAAAAAACAACTAGCATTACTAATTAATAGCATCCCATTAGTTTCTTCCTTAAGAAAATTTTCTTTTAAAATATGTAAGATAAAAAAGCAGCAAAATTACCAGTAGATAAATGTCTGGAATAGATAGTACATCAAAAGTTAAACCTGGAAGCTTTCTTAGGATAATGCATATCTTCCTTTCAATTAAATTTTAAATTAAAATCATTTAGAATTTAGAATTTGGATTCTGGATGTTGGATTTCCATTGAATAAATTCTATTTTAAAAAATATTTTTACAAGATATAAAATAGTTTGCAATATAGATAATCCCAGGGTTACGAGCATTCCCTTAGCGAATGTTTAAAGTTACGCGATCAGATCTAGGACTTTTCAGCTCCTACCCTTGGCCATGCCTGCTTCTCTGCCAGGATCCCACCTTCACACATTAACCACTAGCTTTTCTCCTCGGCTGGCACACCCCTAGCTGTTTGCCCTGGTCACCCTGGCGGCCCATTCACCATAGAATGGTTTGTCCCAGGCTTTTTGCCACCTGGGACAGTTAGCCGCCAACCAATCAGTTAGCTGCCAATGCTGGCAGCCAGAAGCCACAATGTGATCGATTGCAGGGAGGAGGAGGTGCTGCAGCCAAAAGGTCTCAGGCACTTGTTAGGAGAAGGAAGGGGAGAGGTAGAAGCTCCAATGTATCTGATCATGCCTCCTTGATAATGAATGGGAAGGGAAGAGCCAGGATGGGGGGGCGTATAGTAAGCTGGCTTCATCCAAAGGAGTTTTTGTTTCGTGTGGGTAATCCTAGCCTTAGAAGGAGAGGAGGAAGGAAAGGGGGAGAGAGAGAGGGAGGGAGGGAGGGGGAGAGAGAGAGAGAGAGAGAGAGAGAGAAGGGAGACAGGGAAGAAAGAAAAGGGAGAGAAAGAAAGAAAAAAAGAAAGAGGGAAGGGAAGGGAGAAAGAAAGAGGGAGGGAGGGAGAGAGGGAGAGAAAAAGAGAAAGAAAGAAGAAAGAAAGAAAGAAAGAAAAAGAAAGAGAGAGAGAGAGAAAGAAAGAAAGGGAAGGAGGGAGGGAGGGAGAGAGAAAGAGGAAAGGGAAAGTGAATGAGAGAGGGAGAGGAAGAGAGGGAGGGAGAGAAAAAGAAGAGGAAGGAAGGACCACAAACCCTGGCACTAGATGCAGCTTCAGAGGATACTTTGAAACAGCACAGCAATCCAGGGATGGAAGGCACCACGGAGGTCATCTAGTCCAACCTCTTGCTCCAGCAGGCGACCTTATATCATCTGGGTTATTTTGGTGCCTCTAACAGAGAGGAAAATTCCCAGAAAAGGGAAGGAGTTTACTAGGCAAGGCTGCCATGCAGAGGAAGGCAGAGGTAGTCCTTGACTTACAATAACAATTAACAACAGTTGCTAAGCAAGAGCATTGTTAAAGTGGGTTTTGACGCATTTTACTCAATCCATCGTCCAACAGTGGATGTCAATCACTGTGAACCAGACTGAGAATTTGAGACCAAAGGCCTGCCAGATTACCGGTGATTGACACACTCGTAAGGGAAGGGGAAGGGTACCCCTTGACTTATTGTATGTCCACCATTGAGCCTCAAATCTCCATTGCTAAGCGAGACAGCTATTCAGTGAGCTTTCACCCACTTTACGACCTTTCTTGTCACCATTGTTAAGTGAATAGTTGCAGCTCTTGTAAGTCACATGGTCATTAAGTGAATCCGACTTCCCCGTGGACTTCTTTGATCAGGTCACAAAAGGGGATCGTGTGACTCTGGGACACTGAGACCATCATAAGTAATTGTCAGTTGCCAAGCATCTGAATTTGGATCACCTGACCATGGGGATGCTGCAACGGTCATTAAGTGTGAAAAACAGTTATAAGACCCTTTTCCCATTGCTGTTGTAACCTGAACAGTCGTTAAGTCAGTCACACAGTCACTAAGTGAATCTGGCTTCCCCGAATCTCCATTGCTAAGAGAGATAGCTGTTCAGTGAGCTTGAACCCATCTTAGGAGCTTTCTTACCACCGCTGTTAAGTGGATTGTTGTTTAAGTCAGTCAGACGATGGTTAAACAAAGCTGGCTCCCGTAGTGACTTCGCTTGTCAGACGGTTGCAAAAAGGAGATCACATGACTTCAGGACACTGCGACCGTCATAAATGTGAGTCAGTTGCTACGCATCCAACTAAATCACATGACCATTGGGATACTGCAATGGTCATAAGTGTGAAAAATGGTCATCAGTGGCATTGAAACTTTGAACGGTCACTATATGATACCGTTGTAAACTACCTGTACTGTTTTCCAATTTGATGGCAATTCTTGACTTACAACTGTCATGGCCAGCTTTCACCAATGTCGTATGTCCGTACCTAAACCCTGGATTGCTGTGCTGTTTCAAAGCATCCTCTGAAGCTGCATCTAGTGCCAGGGGTTGTGTCCTTCCTTCCTTCCTCTCCTTTTTCTCTCCCTCCCTCCCTCCCTCCCTCTATCCATCCATCCATCCATATATCATTCACTTTCTCTCCCTTTTTTTCTCCCTTCCCACCCTCTTTCTTTCTCCTTTCCTCTTTCTTTCTTTCTTTCTTCCTTTCTCCCTTCCCTCCCTCTTTCTTTTTCTTTCTCCCTTCCCTCCCTCTCTGCCTCCCTCTTTCGCTCTCTCCTTCTCTCTCTCTCTTTCTTTCTTTCTCTTCCTTTTTTCTTTCTTTCTTGTCTCCCTTCTCTCTCTCTCTCTCTCTCTCTCTCTCTCTCTCTCTCTCTCTCTCTCTCTCTCTCTCCCTTTCCTTCCTCCTTCCCTCTCTCCTTCTAAGGCTAGGATACTCACCCAAAACAAAAACTCCTTTGGATGAAGCCTGCTTACTATCGCCCCCCCCCCGCTCTTCCCTTTCGTTATCAGGGAGGCACGATCAGGTACAGGGAGCTTCCACCCCTGTCCTTCCCTCTCCTAACAAGCACCCGAGACCATTTGGCTGCAGCACCTCCCCCACCACCTGCAATCGATTGCATTGTGGCTTTTGGCTGCCAGCATTCGCTGCTAACCGATTGGTTGGCAGCTAACTGTCCCAGGCAGCAAAAAGCCCAGGATAAACCATGCTTTGGTAAATGGATCACCCAGAAGCGCATGGGACAGAGGGGCCGTGGCCCATTGGCCAGGGCGAACAGCTAGAGATGTGCCAACCGAGGAGAAAAGCTAGTGGTTAATGCGTAGAGGTGGGACCCTGGTTGAGAAGCAGGCACAGCCAAGGGTAGGAGCCGAAAAATCCCATTCTGATCAGCGCCCCTAAGCGGTTCTGAACAAGGCCCAAAACTACTAATCTTGCAGCACCATGGCAGTTATTCACTCTTATGAACAACTGCAAAGGCTCTTCAACATTCATCCTGCATGTTGCTGTCCAAAATGGAGCTTCTGAGGGGCAAATCTGTCACTCAGAAACCCCATTTGGCCGTCCAGAACCCTTGCCTGGCACGGAAAGGGATGTTCCATTCACCATCACTCTTCAGAAGCCCCATTCAGCCATCCAGAAGCCTCATCCTGCCATCCAGAGGCCTCACCTGGCCATTCAAAGGCCTCACCCAGCCTGCAAGCTGAAATGGAGCTTCTGAGGGGTGCATCCACCCCTCAGAAGCCCCGTTTGGCCATCCAGAGGCCTCGCCTGGAACCTTACCGGCTGAAATGGAGCTTCTGAGGGGCGGATCTGCCCCTCAGAAGCCCCGTTCAGCCATCCAGAGCCCTTGCCCAGCACCTTGCCGGCCGAAATGGAGCTTCTGAGGGGCACATCCGGCCAGCAAGGTGCTGGGCAAGATCTCTTGATGGCTCTCAGAAGCTCCATTTCAGCCAGCAACGGGCGCACGAGGCTGGAGAGGAGACTGCTTGCTAGATCTTCATAAGGTAAGTGACCCACCGTGGCAGTTTGGGTGGGGAAAGACATTTGAGGAGCATGAGGTATTTCAGTGGGTCAGGGATGCCTTGGGTGGTCTTAGGCAGGTGGCCTGTTCCATCAGTAGGCCCCGCATGGCCTTCTCCACCCTGAAATACCTCATGTGCACTTAACGAACCTCACATTCAATTAGTGAATCCATGGGCAAAAGGAGGGAGTGATTTCATTCAAGGTGCGAGATTCACTCCCATGAATCCTTGGGTTATGAATGGAATGGGTAGGCTGCATTCCATTCATAACTCGAGCACTACCTCTATTGTGATTTCAACCATAGACCTGGTATTGTATAATTTCTAATCTGTCTCATTCTCCCACTCTCTCTTAATCTCTATCATATTTTAGGTTCAACCATATTTGGTGGAAACTCTGTGTAGATACAAAGCTGATTTGGAAATTATCTTTAATATGATTGATCAAGACCATTCTGGTACGTTAAAACTTTAGCTTCCCAAAAATAATGCCACTCTATTCTGATCCTACAGAATCAGAATAGAGCTGGAAGGGACCTTGGAGGTCTTCCAGTCTAGCCCCCTACTCAAGCATATCATTTCAGACAAGGGACTGGCTTCTAGTGCTTTGGAAAATAAATTGGACCTCTCCTATTTGTGGTAGCCCCTCAAATACTGGAATATTGTTATCAGCCTCATACTACTATGAGCCTCAGTGGCGCAGTGGTTAGAGTGCAGTACTGCAGGCTACTTCTGCTGACTGCTGGCTGCCTGCAATTTGACAGTTCAAATCTCACTAGGCTCAAGGTTGACTCAGCCTTCCATCCTTCCAAGGTGGGTAAAATGAGGACCTAAATTGTTGGGAGCAATATGCTGACTCTATAAACTGCTTAGACAGGGCTATAAAGCACTGTAAAGCAGTATATAAATGTAAGTGCTCTTGCTGTTGCTATAATGTCCCCTCTAGTCCTTCTTTTCTCTAGTCTAGCCAAACCTAAATCCTGCAACTGTTCTTCATATGTTTTGATCTTGAGCCTTTAATCGTATTAGTTCCTCTTCTTTGCACTTTTTCCAAAGTCTCAACATCTTTTTTGTAATGTGGTGACCAAAACTGGATGCAGTATTACAAGTGTGGTCTTACAAAAGCTTTATAAAGCGGTACTAATACTTCACATGATTTTGATTCTATGACTCTGTTTATACAAACAAGGATTGTATGGCTTTTTTGGTTGTTGCCACACACTATTGATTCATGTTTAAGTGATCGTCCACTAGGACTCCAAGGTCCCTCTCTTCGGCTGAAGAGGTTGTAGAAAAATGGTTTTAAAAGTTAAAAAAAAAAAAGTTGGCCACCCCCACCCCCATGAAGCATGCCCACAGAACCGGTAGTAACAAATTTTAGATTTCACCAGTGGGAGGTGGGGGCGGTAAAAGGGAAAAAGTGAAATTATTATAAAAATGTACACAAATGATGAAACAGATATAAATATTAATTAAATAAGAAATTGAAATGAGAATAGTGATCGATAGAAAATCGGGGCTCCTCGAATACCATTTTAGATTGAACAAAAAAGGAAAACAACAAGGGAGAGGGGAAGGAGTAGAGAGAGAGGAAGGGAGAAGAGAGGAGACGGAGAAAAAGAAGAAAGGGAAAACGAAAGGAAGAAAAGGGAAAGGAAAGAGGAGTAGGAGAGAAGGTTAGAAGAAGGGAAGAAGAGAGGAGTGGGGGAAGGGAAAGTAGGAAAGAAAAGGAGAGGAAGATTGAAGAAAGTAGGAGGAGATAGAGGAAGGAAGAGAAGGGGAGGAGAAGAAGAAAGGTTGTGGCAAAACAAAAGAAGGGTAAATGGTAAAAGAGCAGCCCCGAACAAGTAAAAATTAAAAATGAGAGTTAAAAGATAAGATGAATGAAAAATGGTGGATAAATGACTGTACATGTAAATATGTTTATGAGAAATGAAAATAAAAACTTTTTTTTTTAAAAAAAGATTCAGGACACAAATTTGATCTAACCGGTAGCAGTTTGTAACCCAAACAAAATCAAGGAGAGAAAGAGAATTCCTTGAAGCCTGGTTTTCCACCAATAAATTCATAACAGACAAGTTAATAAACTGACATCGATCCAGTCTACCAATTGCTGAGAATGAAAGACTCAACCACAATACTGAAAGTAGCATTTAAAACAAACAAACAGGTATCACACTGTGCATCAACAAAATTATAACCTATCAGCTCCCAAGAAATCAGACTACATCTCAATAACAACAGCCAACCAAACAGTCCGAAACCAGACCATGACTCAGAAGTAGCCAAACAAACAACACCCATATTAATTTGCATCAGATAAAAAGGTATTTAAAGGCCAGAGTTCTAACAGACGAGCACAATTCAAAGTGCACTGATGATGTCTCCTTGAATGGTGATGAAATGTTTGCAACCAAATTGCAAAGCTCGGAGGGTCAAACCAACAGTCAACTACAACCTGAACCACTAACATTAATTTCAACCTTTGGTTTTTCATCCTGAGGTATAAAACTTTGCTTTTCTCCACATTTAATTTCTTTTTGTTGGATAGGGCCCAATGTTCAAGTCTGCCAAGATCTTTTTGGATCCTGAGCTTATCTTCTGGGGTTTTGGCTACTCCTGCCAGTTTAGTGTCATCTGCAAATTTGATGAGTTCCCCTTCTATTCTCTCATCTAAGTCATTTATGAAGTTCTTGAAGACTACTGAACCTTGTGGTACCCCACCATTTACTGCCCTCCATGTAGATGTAGTACCATTAAAGACTACTCGTTTAGTATGGTTTGTAAGCCAATTACAAATCCATCTGGTGGTGATGTTGTCTATTCCACATTTTTCTAGTTTACCAAGAAGTAGGTTGTGGTCCACTTTGTCGAATGCCTTGCTGAAATCTAAGTATACTATGTCCACAGCATTTCACTAGTCTACTAATTTAGTCACTTTGTCAAAGAATGAAATATTAATTGGTTTGGCATGATCTGTTTTTAACAAACCCATGCTGACTTCTAGTTATTACTTTACTTGTTTCTAGATGTTTGCAGATCTGTTTTTTGATTATCTTTTTCCAGTATCTTCCCAGGTATTGATGTTAGGCTGATTGGTCTGTAGTGTCCTGCATCTCCCCTCCCCCTTTTATGAAGATGGGAACCACATCAGCTCTTTTCCAACCATTTGATAGATTTTTAAAGATATGATACAATGATTCTAAAATAACATCTGCCAGCTCCTTCAGAACTCTGCGATGTAATCCATAAGGCCCCGGTGATTCATATTCATCAAGGTCAGATAGGTGTTTTCTTAACATTTTCTTGCTTATTTTAATTTTTATTTCTAGTCTGTCTTTTACAGTTATGTTTTTGGTAGGTTTGGCTATAGTTTCTTTTTGTGTGAAGACTGATGCAAAGAATGAGCTAAGCAGCTCTGCTTTCTCTCTATTGCCTTTTATCTCCTTGCCATCTTCTCTCTTTAGTGGACTGACTGTTTCCTTGACTTTTTTCTGGTTATTTATATGTTGAAAGAAACTTTTAAAAATTATCTTTTACTTTCGTTGCAAGTATTTGTTCATTTTTTTTTATTGCAAAAGTTTTACAATTACATTTTCACCCCTTTCCCCCCCCACCCCCCAAACTTCCCAACCTCCCTAACCCTCCCCTCCCCCCAGACTTCCCTATAATATACTCATAACTGGTAAAAAAAAAACACACACACAAAAAAAACCCCTTAGTATGACACTTATGTGTAAACTTGAACCCCTCCCTCCCCTGTATAATTTTTCTTTTTACCTCATTTCATTAAAATATTTCTAATACATTATTTTCAAATAAAAGCTATTTGATACTTTCTAGTTTGATATTTGTTCTGAACATATTCTATCCACCTTTTCCATTCCCATTCATAAGTCTCTTGTGAACAATCTTTTAAGTATGCTGAAATCTTCGCCATCTCTGCAAAATTGGCCATCTTCAAAGTCCATTCTTCAATAGTGGGCAAAGCTTCATTTTTCCAATATTTACCTATCAACAATCTTGCTGCTGTTATCATATACAATATCATTTTTGTTTCACCCGATGTAAAACCCTTAACTATACCCAATAAAAACAATTGTGGAGAGAATTGAATTTTTTTCTTCAAAACATTCTGCATGACCCACCAAATTTTTATCCAAAAAGCCTTAACTTTCCTACAGGTCCACCAAACATGATAATACGTAGCATCCAAACATTCGCATCTCCAACATTTTGGCTGAACATTAGGGTACATACATGACAACTTTTTGGGATCTAAATGCCATCTATAAAACATTTTATAGAAATTTTCCCTCAGATTCTGCGACTGTGTAAATTTAACATTCTGAACCCAAATTTTTTCCCATGTTTCCAAAATCACTGGTTCTTCAAAATTTTGTGCCCACTTAATCATACAATCTTTAACTAATTCAGTTTCTGAGTCCCTTTCTAGCAAAACATTATAAAGCCTTTTGATATGCATTGGACCTTTCTCTTTTATATGTCTAACCAATTCTTCCTCGTGCAACATAATACCAGTTTTTTGGTCCTCTTTCCATCTCAATTGTAATTGATTATATTGTAACCAAGTTAAATTAATCCCTTCGTCCAACAGTGTCTGCAATGTCTTCAGCTGCCATCTGCCCGCATCTGTAAAAAGAACCTCTTTGTATAAAAACCCCCCGAGTGACATTATATTTGTATTCCACAAGGTATGACCAAGATCCAGCCATAGCGGTATTTTATAATCCCATTTGAGTCGGTGCTTCTTCCAAACTCTCATCAAAGAGTCTCTAAGTATATGACTTTTAAATACTTTATCAACTTTGTCATCATAAAATAAGTAAGCATGCCATCCAAATTCAAGATCAAAACTTTCTGCATTCAATATTCCAGCCTTTTTACTTCCAAACCAATCACTTGTTAAAGTTAAAGCTGCTGCATCATAATATAACTGTAGGTTTGGAAGTTTAAGACCTCCTCTTTCTGGAACATCTTGCATAATTTTCAATTTCACTCTCGGCTTTTTCTCGTTCCAGACAAACTTATTGAGTCCAGTTTGCCAGACTTTCAATTGTTTATCACTTTTAAGCACCGGAATCATTTGAAACAAAAAAAGAAATCTTGGCAAAATGTTCATCTTAACTGCTGCTATTCTTCCAAGTAGAGACAGCTGCAGTTTTTTCCAAGTCTCCATGTCTTTCTGCACCTCTCACCACAATACCTCATAGTTATTTTGAAACAATTTCATGTTTGATTCTGCAATCTGAACTCCTAGATATTTTACCTTAGGTACAATCTCAAAACCTGCCCTCCTTTCAAGCTCATGTTTACGATCTTGTGTCATGTTTTTAGCTATCATTTTAGTCTTTTTTGAATTCAGTCTAAAACCTGAAACTTTACCATAGTCTTGTATAATGTCCTTCATCAGGATTATTGATTCCATTGGTTGTGA